GCTGGCTCTGGCTGGGGTGTGTCCAGGGCTGGGCACTGGGGGACATGAGGGGGCAGCGGGGAGGCTCGCCGGGTTCACCTTCCCTTTCCACTCCCTTCTCACTCCCACCTTCACCCAAGCCTGTCACCAGCACACTACACAGGGAAAAAATAATGAAGATAGCCATAGTTAAGTCTTGTGGACGGTCCTTAGGCTCCTGAATCATTATGCAGAATGGGAAATACAAAGAGAAAAGACAGGACCTGGGAGCATGATGTCTTTGGGTCTCTGGAGTGTCCTGGTCTCTGAGTAGTGCTGCTGGGCAGGAGGCGAGATGGGCACATTGACGATAAGCCGCCGAGGGCAGATGGAGGTAGGGGTGGAGCTGGACGGGGCCAGGGGTCAGACAAAGCTCAGGAGGTGGAGCTGGAGTAGGAACCTGGACTTTAAGTGGCCCACGTAAGCCTCTGTCCCCTTGTTCCAAATCAAACACTCAGGGTCAGGGTTGGGGAACCAAGCTGGGGGAAGGGTAGGTTTTGGAAATAATACAGCTGGGGGGAGGCAAGAGGAAGAAGAAACGGGAACAGAAAGGGACTGTCCTTGGGTTCTTCCTCCACTCTCCAGGTAGAATCTTTTTCCTCGGTACGAGCTTGCGAGCGAAACGCACCTGCCCACCCCTACCAGCAGGCTCGAGAGTAATGCTGAGAACACAGAGCACCTGGGGGGAGCTGGGAGGCTGAAGCGCGGAGCCAGATCTACAGTGGGGAGGCTCTGAGCACCCTAGATCACTGGAGAGCAGTGCATAGGGTGTGGAGCCAGTCAGAAATTAAGGTGGTGGGGGGCAGGTGCAGAGTGTAACAGAAAACTCCTCGTCTCTGCTTTAAGTCAGACTGATGGGCCAAGTCAGAGGTCAGGGGGCTTGGCAAACTGGCTGTGGAATTAATTAGAAGCCCACAGCCCTCCACTTCCAGGAAAACATTGCAGAGGCAGAGGGGGAAGCCACCTCCCTTCTTTGCTAGGTCATGGGAGGAGGCCACACTCACCTGGGCAGCCAGGTCCCCAGGGGAACAAGAAGAGACTGAGGGTTCCCCGGAGGGCACGTGCTTCCCTCATCAGCCTGGGGGAGAATCCTTTCCAACATGGACCTGCCCAGGAAGATTTGCCTGGGAAGACATTAGATCGACCCTGCAAGCGGAATATGTTCATCAATGGGAGGTGGTGGGGAAGAGGAAAGATACGATAGCCAAAGGAAACAGAAGGTTCAAAATGTAGAGAAACTCGAAACAGCCCGGCATGGGCAGGAAAGGGCCAAAAGGTCTGTGTATTTGGTGTGAGGCGGGGACAAAATGGGGGGAAGAAGAGATCAGATCAGGAAGTTTTGTGTGGTACGCGTTTCAGGCAAGGTCCTAATTGTGGGTAGACGGTGAGGCATCTCAGAGCTGGGAGAGTTGGCACAGGAGAAAGTGGGTGTGGGTCACCCCCAGGGCAGATCCCCCCTCCCCATCACTGCCCTAGCAAGGCTGGGCCAACCAAGTACCAGGGCACCAAGCTTGTTACCTAATATAGACATAAAGAAACATGACCTTTAATACCTACCCCTGAGTATTGGGGAGCAGAAGCCATACCCAGGGCTCCCATCCACTGAGCAGTAACATGGAGATGAAGGATTAGAGCACTTGCATCAAGACAGGGACAATAGGATTACTACCACGGAGGCAGGAAACGGGCCATGAGACCTTTAGAATATGAGGTACCAGAATCTTTTTTTGTTTTGTTTTGTTTTTGTTCTTACCACTGGCATTACAAGATACTATTGACTTTTTAAAAAAAAAAAGATTATCTATTTATTTGACAAGAGAGAGCACACACAAACAGGGGGTAGCGAGAGAGGGAGAAGCAGGCCTCCTGCTGAACAGGGAGTCCAATGTGGGGCTCGATCCCAGGACCCTGGGATCGTGACCTGAGCTAAGGCAGATGCTTAACTGACTGAGCCACTCAGGTTCCAGATACTGTCAATCTTAAAATTCTTTTGATAATGTTCATGTAAAAATATAGTATCTCATTATTTCATATTTACTGTACTACTGGAGACACTGACCATCTTTTCATATGTTTATTGGCTATCTGTAGATCTTTCGTGAATTGCTTAGTCATATTTTTGTCCCGCGCACAAAGATAAACCATTTATTCTCCTCCCCGCATTACAGGATTTTTTTCCTTCCGTGACCACAGTTCTTGGTCACGCTGCTTTGAAGAATGAAGAGGTAGACCAGACAAGAGTGGTGGGAGGTAAAGCAAAGTTTATTCGGCGATAGTAAAGTTTATCGAGCGACAGTACAAAGTTACCAAGGAGGGAAAGGACCTGAGAGGGTTGCCCAAGAGGGACCAGGATCTAATGTCGAGGGTTAGCTCTGGCCACAAGGCAGCACGCCAGCCAGGGAGCTTGAGTCTGGGCTCTTGGAGAAGTTACTGTCTCAGCTCCCAGCTAAGAACACATCATTTTGATGGCTGGGGTTTCTCTAACCAGTATTAGCAAGCAGAGGTCAAAAATGTTCGCTCTAGTGAGGTATCGTCAGACCCTCATATGGGAAGGTGGGTCACGATCAGGGAGAGTCCTTTGTCTTGGCTGGTGGGAGAGCTTGAATATAACAGAGGCCACCCCTGACACCTTCCCTATGTGTCTTGCTGTCACATTGTCCCCTCTGATATCATTTCATTCAAATCTTCCCAGCTGTCTGGTCAAAGACCCTAAAAACTTGCTGAAAAGGTGGCCCTTTTGAAGAATTACTCAGGAGGCAGGACCACAGCCCTGCTCCTCTCCTTGGGTCATATTTCCCTTTGAATAAATGTGGCCCCGGCCTCAATGAATGGGATGAGTTTATCCCCAGGAGCCAGAGTCCACCCCCAGTCTGCAGGCTGAAAGACTGGGCCCCAGAACGTGGTGTCTCAGCGGAGTTGCTGCCCCAGAGGCCCTGAGCGGTCAGCCGGGCCCACCTGGTGCGCACAGCTCATGCTCCTCTCAGATCTGCTTTGTAGGGAGATAGCTCTGGCTACAGTGTGGAAGGGCACCTGGGTATGGGACAGACCAGAGGCAGAGGGCCAGGATGAGACCAGCGACCTTGAGGACAGAGAAGAAGGCAAGAGTCTGAGATGTTTAAGGGCAGGTGTGATGACCGGGTGCCTTATTGGGTGTGGGTAGGTGAGAATGAGCCCAGTATCTTAGGTGACACAAAGGTTTCCTATGACCTGTTGGGCTTTTCACTAGAAAGGATGTACTTGCAGAACAGCAAGTTTAAGGGGGAACAACAAGGTTGAGTTTGAGGTGCTCCTGGGAAGTCCCAGTAGAGATGCCTAGAAATAAGGCGGTTGACTCTGTGTCTGGAGCATAGGAGAGATGTTCTAGAATCCAGATTTGGGCCAACAGCAAGCATTAGCAGTTAAAGTAAGAGAGGCCAAGATTGCCGGCAGAGGACTTTGGGACAGAGAAGACAGGAGACCCAAGACAGAGTCCTGGAAAAAGCCAAAGTTTGGGGCTATGTGGGCTGGTAGGGGAGCAGAGGTAAAGGAACCAGCGTGGAAGATGAGAAGCAGCAAAAACAGATGAGGAGGGGTCAGAATGCGGGGAAGTCAAGGCAGAGAATTTCAAGAAGGGGGTGGGCGATGTTGTCAAATGTCACTGAGCCATCCAGAAAGTAGGCGGCTGGAAAGGCCCATTGATTTTGCATTTAGAAGTCACTGGTGACCTTTGTCGGGGCAGCGTCTGGCTGTGGGCCAGCAGAGGGAGGGCAGTGGGTGGAGGGTGACTGCGGGAGGACACTCCTTGGAGGAAGGAGTTTTTGCAAAGGCACAGGCAGAGCAAAGACCTCCCCCTGCCCAGGAGATTCAGGGTCCCTGTGGAAGGCTTGGCAAGATGAGAGTGGAGAAGAACCAGTCAAGAGAGAGGGAGGGAAAATACAAGCAGAAGAGCGGATGGATAACTGAAGGAGAACCTTCTAGAAAGAGCCTGAAGGGCGGGGCTCCCCCTTAACCGGATAAAGAGGCTGTGGAATTACTGAGCCCATCCTCATGGCCAAACCCAGTCAAAGATGCTGTCAGGGGTAGGCAAGGTACTTTCTCTTTTAAAGGGGTTTAATTATTTTTCAAACCCACTTTGCACCATTTAAAGTCTACAGGGATGATCTAACCAATTACCACATAACCATACCAACTTCAGAAGAGCCTGATTGTTGGGTGGGATTTTTCTTCAGCAACTGACTTTCCCAAGCGATCCCATTAAATGAACTATAATGCTCTTCCATTAGGAGGTAATGGGCTGCTTGGAGAAAGCCCAGTCAGGGGCCAGAGATCCCACCTCTCTTTCCCAGCAACCTCAGCAGAAGGTGGGAGGAGAGAGGAACCCAGATGTGGGATTCTGATGGGGGCGCTCTGAAACAGGAGGCCAGACTCCCCAGAGGAGTCCTCCCCGGGGTCCCGGGGCCTGAAATGATGTCCAGGCCACCATCAGTTCTTACTTCTGACTCACTGCCCATGGTCAGGTCTTCTGTCAACTCCTTTCTTTGTATCTGGGCAAGAGGGAATGTCCTGAAAGGCAAATCTGACTCTTCTTACTCCCTTGCCCCAAATCCTTTCATGGCTCCACATTTTTCTTTAGGGTAACCGTGGCTTGCAGGAACATGCCTCATCTGTCCCCTGCCTGTCCCTCCAGGCTCTCCTTATAGCCCACATGCCCGGCAATGAACTTGGGTACTTCGATGGTGCTGCTTTGTCACCTTTTGGCCTTTGATCATGCTGTTTTCCAGCCTGGAAAGTTCTCTCCATTGTCCTCCTTGTCCCCAGTTTAGACATTTTGTCCCACAGGAAGCCTTCCCCAGCCCCTAGGATTGAGTCAGGAGACTCTGCTCTTGGCCTCCTCCCCCTTCCTTGCAGTCCTAACTGCAACTGTCATTTACTAGCCTCGCTCCTCCGAGGACAAAACCTGTGCATCTAATTCACTAACGTATCCTTGTGCCTCGAGTGGGCCTTGTCCTTAGAAGGCACGCTGTACATCTTTGCTGAATGCACGAAGGAATCCTCTTGCACTTGGAGCTGGAACCCTTCACAGGGGAAAGCAGAGGCAGGAGAATACATGTTGTGCCCCTTCCAGAGCATTCTAGTGTCTGTGTTCCTAGAGAAGTCCCAGCTATGCCCTCTGAGCTAAGCCTTAGGCTCCCCTCGTCCAGCTTCTCTTAGAGCAAGGAGCCCATGTCCTAGTCTAGCTTTGGGGGCACTGGTTCCTTCAGAACTTAACATGCTTGGTGAGTATACACTCTTGTCACTGGGTCACAAACACGAGGCCAACATTTGAAGCTGGCCTCAGTAGTCAAAGGAAGAGACTGGGTTGGGGAAGGGGGCTGGGGGTCCACCTTGCAGCCATCCTGACCCCAGCTGGGCAGGTGTTCTAACAATCTGCATGTCCCTCCTGCCTCCTCTCATTTGAGGCTGGGGCAGGAGTGGTAGTCCCCCTGGGGAGAAGTAGAGACACAATCACACACAGTCACATTTTCCGACAAAAGCTGGTGAACATGCACACCCACTCACACATAAGACCGCATATAAGCACTCATGTGCTTTGGTGTGGACATGGGTTTCAAGGTCATGAGATTCACATGGGAAGGAGTGGGGCGGACACCAGCATTCCATCTCTCCATTTCCCCCAGCTTCCCCCAGCACTGACTGCCCTGCGGCTGGCCATAAGGAGGAGCCACACGAGGTGGAAAATGGATCTGCATGTAACAGAGAAACTACTCAGGTCAGGGAGAGAGGAAGTACAAAGTCAGTGTTAGAGTCACAGCTGGCCATGGCGTCCATCACTTTTCTACTCTGTCCCAGTCTCCAGTCCCTCCTCTCCCTCAGTCTGTTCTCTCACTCCTGCTTCCAGCCCAGGCCATGCCGTAACTGAACTGGCCATCCCTGCCCCATTCTCCTCGCTCCAGTCTTCCTCCCTGGAAGGATCCTAGTTTGGATCCTAGTTTCTCTCCAGCTCTCTGACTTGTCCCCATCCATTGTTTCATTGACCCACAGGTGAGCTTGGGCTTGGAGCAGCTCAGAAGGGAGCAGAAACTTCTGTGACCTATGTAGGACCTCCTTCTGGTCAGGAGCTGA